CAGACGAAGACACGCCCTAAACCCACATCAAGGTCTGGGTACATACATAGATCAAAGGAAAAGAATAAGAAGTTAAAAAACAAAGAAAACTTACCCGGACACCTACCTATGACAAAGGTCATAAGCCGTGTGGGGCTGCCAGCTACCTGAGTGCATCTCACATTTTTACCCCAGGCAAAATTCTGGAAGTACCAAAGATTCAAGACTTCCAGAGACAGAAAGAGAAAGAAGCACCTCTCCCCACTCAATGTCATAGCACCCAGAACCCTCAGAAGCGAAGGCTGGTGTACATACAGTGCAGAACTAAAAAGCACTTCATAGAAAAAAAGTTCCCCTCGGACCTGGAGAAATGGCCTGGCAGTTAAGAGCACTTGCTGGTCTTGCAGAGGACCTAGCTTCTGTTCCCAGGACTCAATGATAGCTCACAACCATTCATAATTCTACTGCCAAGGGATCTGATGCTCTTTTCTGACCCTTGTGGACATCAGGCATGCACATGGTACACAAACATGCATGCAGGCCAAATATTCACACACATACATTTAAAAAAAAAACAACATCAGAAAAACAAACTGGGAAGTATGTCTGTAACTAGTTTGGTCTTTTGCTTTGTTTTTTGGTGTGCTTTGTTTTGGTTTTCTGGTGTTTTGGTTTGACTTTTTGAGACAGAATTTCTCTGTGTAGCCCTGGCTGTCCTGGAACTCTCTCTGTAGACCAGGCTAACCTCAAACTCAGAAATCTGCCTGCCTCTGCCTCCCGAGTGCTGGGATTAAAAGTGTATGCCGCCATCACCTGGTATAACTAGTTTTTATCACAGACTAGTTGCAGGTTTAAGGTGGAAACTCGAGCCGTTGAGCACCATTTGTTGCTGGAGAGCTTCTCTCCAGGTCCCACCAAGCCCTGCAGTCCCACAACCCACGTATAAAATAATCACTCAGACGCTTATATTACTTATAACTGTATGGCCGTGGCAGGCTTCTTGCTAACTGTTTTTATGTCTTAAATTAACCCATTTCCATAAATCTATACCTTGCCACGTGGCTCGTGGCTTACCGGCATCTTTACATGCTGCTTGTCCTGGTGGTGGCTGGCAGTGTCTCCCCCTCCTTCTTCCTGTTCCCCCAATTCTCCTCTCTCCTTGTCCTGCCTATACTTCCTGCCTAGTCACAGGCCAGACTGGCATGAGACCTTGGTGACCTCCTTCCTGAGGCCAAGCCGGTGGCCCTGAGGACCAAATGCATGAACCAACTTCCACAGGTTCCAAAAGACTCACAGAGAAAAAGGGCTGCATACTGACCAGGGCCAGGCAAGGCGCCGAGAACAAAGGAGTACCAAGTCATGCAGTCAGAGGCCAGGAACACAGATTCAATAGGCTGGCAGAAAGTGGCTGAGTCAGAGCAGAGTCTGCTACAGAAAAGAAGAATGCGCAACAGATGCAGGAGCATGCCCCTCTGGAGAGCTCAGGGAAAAGAGGAGACTAAAATGAGGAGCACAGGGGAGTGGGGAGCACAGAGAGCCAACCATGTATCCAGGAGTGGGTCTGCAGAGTCTAGTCCTCTACCTGAACCAGACGAACAAAGCCTGCAGCCCCTCTGGTGAAGGTGCTCCTGCTGAGGAAGCTAAAACATAGAGAGTCACACAGCTCGAGGGTTGCCTACTCACCCATGCCTAGAGGACTGAATTCTCAACTTGTTGTCTGGAGTAAGAGTCACCATAACGCCTTCCACATTCTTCATGTCCTTCTCCATGAAGTCCTTTGCACGGGAGGCCACAGCCAGGATGTACCAGGGACCAGTGAGCTAGAGGAAGCATCAGCTGAGATACCCAGCTCTCCCCACTCAAAGCACAGTCAAAGAACTCCAACACCCTTCATGCAGTCTAACTCCCTCCACCCATGCTTGTCCAAATTGATTCTTGGGGATCCAAAAGCTATGACGCCTCAAAGGTGGGGCCTGGCCCTAGGACCTGCTACCCAAGAAGGCTGTTACCTGCTTAGGATCCAGCCTTCCCAGCCACACTGCCTGGACCCAGGGCAAAGAGACCAAAGCAGGAAGAGCAGCAGTCAGAAGTACCACCTTCATTCTCCCAGAGGCCCAGGCACACCACGCAGTAGGCCAGGATGTGCCATCTCCCACCAGGAAACAGCTTATATGACTCTGAGTGCCTCAGTGTGGGTGGCCACTAACTGCCAGGATATCATCCTGACCTCTCACAAAGCAAAGAAACTCAGGGTGGGGGAGGGCACTGCTAAACTGTGGCGGCCTTGGTGTCTAGCTCAGACTTGTGACAGAAATGAGAGAGGCCCAGGAACCTGTTCAAATCAACAGAACGGTGCCAACTCCCCAGAAGGTTCCAGAGTAAGCCTCCTAAAGCTGGCCACCCTGCTTTCTCCCCTTCCCAGGATCAGCAATCTCCCCAGCTGAATCTGCTCTTCAGGGGCTGGCCAAGCAGGCCCGAGCTGAGGCCAAGTTCCAGTCTCGGCTGGTCAAGCACAAGTAGTCTGTCCAGAATCTGCAGTTTCAGACATCTTTTGTCTCAATCATTAAAAATACAAAAAGCCATCCCAAAGACTTCCTTTTACACTTCCATTCTCCCCCACACACTGGCCCACACAACCTTCTGCTTTGCTGACCTGCGGCCTCCCACTGACCCCAACAGCCAGTTCTGCAGCCTAACTGTCCTGTTCCATCTGTCCCCCTATCTGGATCTAACCATTCTTCATCCATCTCCAGCTGGGCCACATCTAGCTCTCTGCTCCCTAAGACCAAATCCTGACAGACTTCAGCCAGACCCTAAGGCTCCCCTGATTGGGGTCTGCAGCCCATCCCCAAGGATCCCCTGATTGCTGTCTGTAGCCTGAGCTATCCATCACCAAGTCATTGGAGCTGCTATCAGGAGCAGTTCTGGGTGGGGTTTATCTGGCCCACCATACTTGAGGGGTGGCAGAGGTGGTAGGTGAATCCTGCTGCCTCCAGAAAAGACCTTAGCCACACACTCCCTGAGCCTGGCTCATCTACTCCTTCACTCATCATCAAAGATGTACTGAGCATTTCTGCAGAACAAGGCTGCAGGCGCTCAGGACCCACCACAGAGCAAACTGAAGCTCACACTTTGCCCCCATACACCCATGCCCCTCATCATCCCTATCCTCACTCCAAGCAAGACTTGAGAACCCATGTGTGCAATGTGTCCACAGCTTGAGTCTCTGCAGAAAGGAGATCTAATAGAGCTCCTCCCAGATCCTGCTGTGGAGAGGTAAAAGTGCACAAGCCAGACCCTGTGTAAACATCAGCTAAGTGTCCTTCTGTCCAGCTCAGTAACCCAGAGTCAGACCTTGAACTTGGATTAGGATGGTTCCTGGCTGCTGACCTCCCAGATACCTGATAGAAGAAAGTAAAATTTCTTTTAGGAAGACAATGCTCCAAAATTCCCATCCTAATCTTCAGATCAATGCTGTCAATCATTTTAAAACACATTTTCCAGTCAACACACATGGGACCAGGACAACAGCGGGGGTGGGTGGGGGAGGACAGGAAGAGCAGGCCCGTAACTATGCCTGGGTCCTCCAAGGCAGACTGAAAAGAGTTCTTAAGACAGTGCTCACAGGCAAAGCCACCTTTGGAAGTTCTTGGAGGCCACCAGACATCATAAAAAGTGGTGTAGGAAAGGAATGTCCATGAGAGTCAGGTCAGAGTGGGTTACTGTGCCTGAACTTCTTCACCACTTGCGAAAGTTATGCCCCTAAAGAAGAAAACTGCAGCCATGCTAGTCATGAAATATACTGCCAGGCAGTGGTGGTGCACGCCTTTAATCCCAGCACTCAGGAGACAGAGCCTGGTGGATCTCTTAGTTTGAGGCCAGCCTGGTCTGCGCAGAGTGAGTTCCAGGACAGCCAGGGCTACACAGAGAAACCCTGTCTCAAAAAGGGGAAAAAAATGTATTACTATGATATATTGTGTCCCCCAATATATTGTGCACCCTAATAAACTTACTGGGGTCAGAGGACAGAACAGCCACTAGAGAGGCCAGAAAATGGTGGCGCACACACACCTTTAATCCTATCACTTGGGAGGCAGAGATCCATCCGGATCTCTGTAAGTTCAAAGCCACATTGGAAACAGCCAGGAATGGTGACTCACACACCTTTAATCCCAGGAAGTGATGGCAGGAAGCAGAAAGGTATATAAGACATGAGGACCAGGAACTAGAGCTGGTTAAGCTTTTAGGCTTTTAGCAACAGTTCAGCTGAGATTCATTCTGGATGAGGACTCGAAACAGGATCAGCTGAGGAATTGGCAAGGTGAGGTGGCTGTAGCTTGTTCTGCTTCTCTGATCTTCCAGCGTTGACCCCAGTACCTGTTTTTTATTAATAAGACCTTTTAAGATTCATGCTACATTACTACAATTGCATTATCAATAAATCTTAAAAATTTAACTTAGAGAACTCTCTCCCAGGGGAGAGATGGCTTGATCCCAAATCGTGAGAAATATGCTTTTGATGTTTAAACTGCTCAGCCTCCAGCACTCTGCTGTGGCATCCAGAGCTGACTACCAGACAACTACCAGTAAGGAAGCAGAGCACACACATTCACAGAAACGACACAGATCAGTTAGGACTCTTATGAACCAACCAGGCCTGTGAAATGAATACAAGCTGGCCTATAAAAATAAAGGTATCCTTGTCTCTACTTAGCTATAGAAGAAGAAGCTAAGTAAGAGTTAAAATATTTCAGCTAATGAAAACGGTCCCACCAGTGAGGGCGGAAGGTGGAGTGGCAGGACCCGAGGCGAGGTTCTGGGCACGCCTGCCTGTGCCCTCACTGGGCTGTGGCCATGGTCCTCAAGAAGCTGCAGCGGCGGGACCTGGAGGCAGAGCATGTGGAGGTGGAGGACACGACTCTCAACCTTTGCGTTTCGTGACCAGCTTCCCAGTCCTGGTGGTGTCAGCTAAGTTCAAGGGAAAGCCACTGCTCCAGAGACACCGGCTGGTGAATGAATGCTTAGCTGAAGAGCTCCTGCACATCCATGCCTTTGAGCAGAAAACTCTGACCCCAGAGCAGTGGACCTGAGAGTGGCGGAAGTGAGGGACCCAGGCCTGAACAGCCATTAAATTGTAAATCAGGTCAAAAAATAAGGAAAGAAATAAAAAAAGAGAGAAAGAAAGAAAGAGAGAGGGAGGGAGGGAGGGAGGGAGGGAGGGAGGGAGGGAGGGAGGGAAGGAAGAAATTATGCCGAGCAGTGGTGGCGCATGCCTTTAGTCCCAGCACTTGGGAGGCAGAGGTAGGTGGATCTCTGTGAGTTCAAGGCCAGTCTGGTCTACAGAGTGAGTTCCAGCATAGCCAGAGCAACACAGAGAAACCTTGTCTCAGAAAAAAAAAAAAAGAAAGAAAGAAAGAAAAAAAATTATAACAACACTCTAAGCTGAATTGAACGTGCTAACGTATATACAGCGAAATAACCAATATTGGCACAAGACACTCCAAGACCAAGTTCTCAGCATAAAGAAAATTTATTTGCCCCAGAGGGACAAAGGGCAGGAAATAAGAGACAAAAACAGGAGAGAGAAGAGGGGAAAGGGACAAGGGAGAAAGGGAAGAGAAATTTGTCCCAGAGGAACAAAGGACTGCCTCAGGACAGAGAGGAGACAGACATGGCCCATAGGTAAATGGTGGTTTATAAAGGTAAAAGGGAATCCGTGTTAGGATGAGGTGTTTAATTTTGATTGGACAGGTTAATTAGGTGAACCAAGGGGGGCTTTTGATAGCTGGACCTTGGTGGTCAGCCTCAGGAGGAGGAAGTGGCCAAATTGGGGAAGAGACCTTAATGGCTGGCTTTAGGAATGTAATCCAATGGTTTAGCAAGGCAGAGAGAATGGGGAAGGGCAAAGCCTGCCAGAGCCGTGTTTGCCATGCTCAGGCCTGTTAGAGCCCTTCACGTGGGTGTTGTCTTGATTGGTTTTTGTCGACTTGATACAAACCTAGGCATATCTAGGAAGAGGGAATATTAATTGAGAAGAAGTCTCCACCCGGATTGCCTGTAGAGCATTTTCTTGATTAATGGTTGATGCAGGAGGGCCCAGCCCACTGTGGACACTGCCACCCCTGGGCAGGTGGTCCTGGGTTGTGTAGGAAAGCAAGCTGAACAAGCCATGGAAGTAAGCCAGCAAGCAGTGGTCCTCCAGAATTTCTGCTTCAGTTCCTGCCCCCCAGGTTCCTTCCTTGAGTCCCTGCTCTGACTTCTCTCAGTAATGGAGTGTGACCTCAGAGTTATAAACCGAAATAAACCCTTTCCTCCCGAAGCTGCTTTAGGTCATGGTGTTTTATCACAGCAATAGAAACCCTAACTAAGAACAGCATTAAAGAAAATAAGGGGCTGGAGAGGTTGCTCAGTGGTTTAGTATGCTTACTGAAACACATGAGTGAACCAATGGCTGAGGAGCCCCCATGGAACTGGACCAGGCCCTCTGGACAAGTGAGACAGTTGATGAGCCTGAACTGTTTAGGGGGCCCCCAGGCAGTGGGACCGGCACCTGTCCTTGGTGCATGAGCTGGCTTTTTGGAACCTACTGTCTATGGTGAGACACTTTGCTCAGCCTTGGTGCAGGGAGGAGAGGACTGGACCTGCCTCAGCCGAGTCTACCAGGCTGGGCTGACTCCCCAGGGTAGACCTTGCCTTGGAGGAGGTGGGAGTGGGAGGTGGATTGGGGGGGGAGACTGGGGGGTGGGAGGAAGGAGGACGGGGGAATCTGTGGCTGATATGTAAAATTAAATTAATTATAAAATAAAAATATTTATAATGAAAAAAGAAGAGTAACTGGGTTCAGTTTCCAGAAACCACGTCAGGAGGCTCTCCGCTGCCTGTAACTCCAGCACCAGGGTTTCTGGCACCCTCTGGCCTCTGTGGGTACCTGAACACACCTGGTGTACACACACTCATGCAGCCACATACACAAACACAAATAAAAATAAATAAATCTCCTTTTTTAGTGACAAAAGGAAATCTCTCAGGGTCTCCAAGTAAAATGAACAAATTAGTCTCCAGAGTGAGAGACACACGCACGAAAGAGGCCAGGCAAGTGAGTGGCCCTCAGAGATGCAGGAACGGGCTGTCTCTACAAGGGGCAACGACTGGAACCTGAGCTGAGGGTTTTCTCTCAACTACATAAAAATGCCCTTCTGCCCTCTCCTGGACCGCCCTGCTATCCTGGGACACAAGGCACCTGCATCCCTGTTTGCCACATGTTTTTAACTTTTAATATTCTTCCAGAACATTGGCTTAACTATGCAGAATGTGACATCCCTGCATATGATTTTTTTTATGAGTTTCCCTCTTTTTTTTCCCAAGACAACGTTTCTTGTGTATCCCTGGCTATCTTGGAACTCACTCTGTAGACCAGGCTGGCCTGGAATTCAGAGATCCGCCTACCTCTGCCTCCCAAGTGCTGGGGATTAAAGGCGTGTGCCACCACCACTCAGCTGCTTCTTTGTTTTATTCTGCTCATTTTCTCTAAATTTTGGGAGTCTCTAAGGTGATGTTTTCATCAAGTTTAGGAATAACTTTGCATTTTATGACCTTACAAAACATTTTTGTCTATATAAAATTTGCGACTTGATATTATCCTAAACTTGATAGCTTAGGATGATCTGGTGACTAACTTTGTCAACATAATTAGATTAATAAAACACCTTGGGCCTTAGTGAGGCACCCCTCTGGGGTGTGTCTCTGAGGGTGTTTCCACAGAGTTTAACTGAAAATCCACCTTGAATGTAGGTTGTCGTCCCACGTGAGCTGAGGTCTCCTGGACTGAATACAAGAGGGAAGGAAGAAGCCATTACTGGCATTACACTGTCCCCGCCTCATGACCTGTCAAGATTCAAGGAGTCCCAGCTACATGCCCCCACTGCCATGAACTCTGCCATGCCTTCCCCAGTATGACGGACAGCGCCCTCACCGGTTGATTGCTTTTGTAAGGTATTTGGTCACAGTGGGAAAAGTGACTGACACAGACACTGTTGATTCTAGTACGTTTCTGCACATTTCTTGCTCTGTTCTATTCCTATGGCTGCTTTGCTGGTGTGTAGGGGCGGTTGTCTGTGCTTCACCCCTGAAGCACTGCCCCTAGTAGGCAGCAGGTAACTGCTAGGTACCTGCCCCCACCCAGGGCGTGGCCAAGACAGGGACCCCTTAAGACCTGAGATGCGTGTGTGCTCGCTCTCTCTTGGCTACCTTGTTGATGCTGGATGCTGGATGCTGGACTGCAGACCAAGTCAGAGTTCTCCAGAGAACCGCAGTGGACTGCACCTCACCTCTCCTGGATCCCATAACAGACCCCTTTGCTTGCTGTAAGTTTACCCAAAATAAACCTCTTTTGACTATCAGATAGGCTACGTGGAATTACCTCCTTAATTCCCACTATACTGGTGTGTATGCATGTAGAGGCCAGAGGCTGGTGTTAGGTGTCTCGGTCACTCTCATCTTTTTTTTTCTTTTTTCCAAGACAGGGTCTCTCATTGAGCCTGGAGCTCAACCACGTGTCTAAACAAATTGGCCAGCTCTTCTCCAGGAAACCTCTGAGATAACCTCAGTCCCTCTGTCCTCTCTTCCTCAGACTGGGACACTGACATTTATTTGTCCAACCTGATGCTGAGTCCATGCAATGTCCTTTCAGCTCTGAGATTTCCTTCTTGCTCTTTGTAACAGTCCCACTTCGTGCTGAATTTCTCTCTGATTGGTCATTGGCTATTTTTTTATTTGTGAATCCTTTCTTTTTGCCATGCCATTAATTTCCTTTTTCCTTTAACATGCTTATGATGCCTCGTTAGACATTCTTCTGAATCCAACTTTGTTTCTTCTCAGGGTCATGTTGGACTAACTATTCCTTTTTTCTCCCATAGATCCTGCTTTTCTGTTTGTATATCTAGTAACCTTTCTGTGACGCATCAGCAATAACACATTATAAAATCCCTACCTACATTCAACACTGGAGAGATGACTCAGTGGTTAAGAGCACTGGCTGTTCTTCCAGAGGACCTAGGTTCAATTCCAAGAACCCACACAGCAGCTCATAACCATCTATAACTCCAGTTCCAGGGGACCCAACTCCCTCTTCCTACCTCCTTGGACACTGCATGCACGTGGTGCTCAGACATACACACAGGCAAAACATCCATATACATAAAAATACTTTTTAAGAAATACATAGAACCCTATTACAAATAAATAGATAATATAAAAGCCCTGCATTCTGTAGCCTTTGCAAAGTATACTTTGTCCAAGACTGGGTTGCATGCTCCTCAGTTCTGACCCTCGTGTTACTGTGTTGGGGTTCTCGGGTAGTAAGTGAGGCTCTAGTAAAGCCACTCACTATGACTCTATACAAGGGGGCTAAAGTCCTTATGAGGACAGGGAGATTGACCATATAAAGCACTCTGTCCCCCACTTCCATGTCCACCAGCCAGGAAGAGAGCCCCTACCTGAAGGTGGACTTTCTTGTGTCTATGCATGTGCATGTGTGAGAGCATGTGTACATATGTGTACATTTATGTGGAGGCCAAAGGTCAACATCAGGTGTCTTCATCATTCACTCCCCACCATTTTTTGATACAAGGGTTGCTAATTGAACCTGGAGCCCAACAAGTTGGCCAAATAGGCTAGCCAACAAGCCCCAGAGATCCTGCTGTCTCCATCTCCCCAGCTCTGGGACTACAGGTATGTAGCACAGTATCTGGCACTTTTTGACATGGGCTACGAGGCACTAAATCCATGTCTGCATGCTTGCATGTCCGTGCTTTACTGGCTGAGCTGTGTCCCAGCCCTGAAAACGAACTTCTGGCCCATGATCGTGGACTGGAGGTCACATGATCGTGGACTGGAGGTCACATGATCGTGGACTGGCGGTCAAGCTCCAGAACTATGCAATGATGAACTGTGACTGGAGTCCACAGTCTGGAGCTGGAAGTCCAACCTCACGCTAGGCTCCTGGGACTTGGTGCAGGCTTGGACCAGAAGATCTGAAGGAAACTGCAACACTCCCCGTGTCCTTAGCACGTCAGAACCTCACCTCAGAATGCCTCTTCGGAGGTTTCTCTGGCACTTGCTTCAGGATTTGAGGTGGGCAAGGGGTGTAGTTTTCTCTTTGTGAGACTCTGTGGTGTCTCACTCCGATGCCTGGGGGTCAGCAACATCTCTCCACTCCAGCTGGGCTGGTTCTCCCCCATCCCACACTGTTCCACCCCAGGTACCACTTTCCTGCTTCCATCTTGGGGCTGCTGCTCTCGGGAAGCAGAACCCATTTGCCCCAAGGGGCTGGTGCTCACATCACCCCACATTCCTGTCCTTTCTGCCCTCTAGCTGCTGCAGCAACGAAAAGAGGCAAGGTAAGCAGACAGTGGCTTTAGGCCATGGAGGGAGAGACACCATGACGGGCACTCGGGCCCTGAGTACAGCTGGGAAGAAGACTCGGAACTGACTGGAGGGGCCGAGCAGGGGACTAGAGAGCAGCCACATCCAGGAGGACCTCGGAAACAGTAGCTGGGGATTTGAACTCCACGCAGTAGGGAGCCTTAGGAAAGTACAGGCAGCAGAGGGGTCTGTTCCTCTTCCTCTTCCATTTGAGAGACCTACTGAGACCGCAAGAGAAGGTGTGCTCTTATCTCTGCTTGTGGCCTGCTAGGACCGCTTCCAGATCCTAAGAGGACAGGAGACTGCTCCAGAGTGAGGGTGGGGCTGTGGGCCTGAATCAGTCGGTGGCACCTGATCGGCTATGTGAGGTATGTCCATTGCAGAGTATTCATTAAAAAAATGTAATGCATTTGCACTCATGTGGGTCACTGTGGACAGAAACCAAGGTGATCGATCACAGGTGTGCCCCTACCTCCCATCTGTCACCACCCACCCTCAAAAAAGATGCTAGGCAGCAAGCATGTGGCAGCAAGGTTTATTTGTCACAGGTCAAGGAACACCTTGGGTAGGGGCAGGGGAGGCCAGATGGGCAGAGCTACCGCTTCCTCCTCAGATCATTTCCTGCAGGCAAAACAACAGAGCTCAGGGCCGTGTGTGGCCTCCAGGGACCCTGAGGCAGTGGTCAAGGTCACAGGGGAAGGGCCTGGCATCCTAGCTACCTGGCTTTAGCAAAGCACTGGTTCCCTGAGCCTTGATTTCTCTATCTGTAAAATGAGTCGTATTGCCAATATCTAGGGGATAGGTTGTGGAAATGAGGTCATGCTGGTGATGGACCAGCACAGTGCTGGATATACAGAAACCTAAGACATCTAACAGGGTCCATATCTCTCCTTGACTCACCCCCTGATAGCACCTGAAGGGACGGACAGGGTCAATTAGCAGTTCTGAGCATCCCTGCTGGGCAGAACATTGAGGACAAGGGGCCTACCATGCAGCTCTGTCCCAATATCCACACCCACACCTACCCACACAATCCCTTCCCTCCTAGGACTTAGCCTGACAGCTTGGATTCATATTCCCAACTACATTTTTGTCCAAACAACAAAACAGATGCCTCTCTGGAACTGTCAAGCAATGCTATTATTGGGTGTCCTCATCAGAGGAGAGGTATACACACACACACACACACACACACACACACACACACACACACACACACACCCCACCAGGATCAGGATGGAGTATCAGAACACAGGGGCTGCAGTATAGAATGAAGGATGTGGGCTTACCTTATTCAGGACTTTGGTTCACCTCCCTGCATGAAATGGAGGCAGGAGAGTGTCAGACCCCACCACAGAGACCTCCCCCAGCTGCTGAGGCCAGAGGAAAAATAGCCCAGAGAGAATAACTGAGTCCTCTTGATCCTTGGGCAGCCCGTGTTCTGGAACTTGGATCTGCCTGCTCCAGTAAATGTGACCAAACACACTCCCCAGCTGCCCACAGATACCAGGCCAGTGGAAAGCTCCCACCCTCATCAATGTGATAGAAAGGACATGTGAAAGAGTCCCCACCCAGCCTGGGTGCCCAGCACAGTCCCAGCTTAGTTCGGAGACTCACCGACTGCAATATGTCCACACAGGTTACTGTAGACAGAAACCAAATGATGAGATAAGGAAAGGACAGGGCAGGCCCAGCCAGGTCTTTGCCCATTCCTGGGAGGCCCTGACTCGGGCGAGGCCTACTCACAGTCATGCTTGTTAATGATTATGTTTGATGTGGTGAACCCATTCTCCAAGGCTACCTTCTGGAACTTTCTCAGGACTTTCTCATTGTTGTTCAAACTCCGGCCTGCAGGTGAATATGGACTGAACTTCTACAGTTACAGACTTTCTCCTCCCATCCTGATGTAGCCCTGGGATACTCTCCTATCCCCACCCCAGGGTGGGAAGACATTGAGATGAGGTACAGGAGGGGTGACACCCACCCCACCCCCAGATGAGTCCAGGCTGGACTTACTGTACAGTTTCATGGCCCGGTAGACTGTCCCAGCTACTGGAGAAGAGATGTCTATGATGGCATAGGTCTGGTAGTCAGTGGCCACAATAGCAACTTCTTTGCTTCCTGAGAACAGAGCAAAATTCTAGACACCCTCCCACTTGCTTGTCCAGGGCTCTCAGTTCCTAGCTATGCTTCTGCCTAGCACATTTGCACACACACAAGCATGTACTCGAAACACACATGGGCAGCCTGGAACGGACCTGGAGAGTTTGAAGAGGAGGGCAGGGATTTCCTACTGACTCAGATAAATGAATGCTGAATCACATCTAGGATTTCAGAGAGGAAGCCACCAAAATCCTGGCAAAGATGGAGGCTGAGGACAGTGGCTGCAGGGGCTCCTGACATCTGGGCATGACACCCTGGTACCGAGTAGCCCCACACCGAGAGCTTCAGTCAGGATACATCAGCAATACCCCCAGTGAGGCAGGGTCCCCCACATCCAGAACAGTGGTAAGGACACACTAAGAATAAGCCAAAGTGCCTCAGAGAGGCCACCACACCCACCAAAGCTGGGACAGCGTCCTTGCCTGATATTTTGGTGACCTTGAATTTCCCTGGATGGTCTGTTTGCATGGCCCCGGCCTTCTCCAGCACACAGTGGTCCCCACTATGAAGACAAGAAGGTAGGCCAGCCTGTAATCCCAACACTGGGAGGTGAGGGGAGCTGAGTCAAGAGGATTGCAGTTTGATGCCCAAGTCAGGGCATCCTGGGCTATAGAGACTGACAAAGGGGGAAAACAGTGAGTCCCTCAGTGGCCGAGAGTGGGTCTCTTAGGCGTGTTTATACACAGGACCGATCCCTGTGTACATCCCTGAGCATATAGTCCTAGGCAGCCTGGGCTATACAGACCAAGAGGCAAATGAAGGAGAATAAAGAAAGGAAGGAGACTCCCAGCTTCCTGCCTACCAGGCCGTACACTGTATGCTCTGAGGTGGTGGGCATGGTGGGCAACCCAGGAGTCCAGAAACCAGCCAGATACATGTGTCTTAATATCTGCTGAGCCTATGACCCCAGAGAGCAGGACCCTTACCCAGTGGCCACCCAGTGAGAAGGAGATGGAGTAGCAAGAGCGACTGGCTGTGGAAATACGCTCCCGGTGACTCCCGAGGAACCACTTAACCTGTGCCCACAGATACACAAAGGATCAAGAGACACACCCTGAGGATCAGGGCTGTATATATATCTGAAGGATATAGTCTCTGGGGAACAGTGTCACACTTGTGTCTGAAGGACACAGTTTGAGGAACAGGAACAAATATACCTAAGAGACCCACTCTCTACCCACCGAGGGACACAGCCTGAAAAAGATGGACACACTGACATGAGGAATGCATTCAGGAGCAGGGAAACACATGTGTGAGAGACAGGCTTTCTGAAGTAAAGGGACACACATTTAGGGGAGAACCTAAAAAACAGGAAGTTATTCATGACTGAGAAACACACTCGGTGGTACAGGGCACAAATACTGAGGGACACACTCAGGAGCAGACACACATGTGTGAGGAACATGGTCACTCACACCTGAAGAACACAATCTTGAGGTGAAGAGTTATGGTTACGTCTGGAGAACATATGCTCTGAGCATCAGGGCCACTCTGTGATGAAACGACACACTTTGAAGGGACACTCTAGAACAGGGACGTGCACACATCCTTGTGGAAGTGACCTGGCCTGAAGGTGTCTACTGGCCAATAGCTACATGCGAACTTGGGCACTGCTGGGCTGTGTGCCAGGATGAAAGAGACGACTCGGGTCAGCCTTGCCTCACTTCTCCTCAGGCCTTGCCATCTGTCAGTCAGAAGTTGGCACGTCTCATGAGCTAAAGAATTGGACCTTAAAGCTGTCTGGTCTGTTACTTGCTTTGCTCAGAGTCCAGGGTGGCAGTCCAGAGGCCAAACTCCTATCATGATTGTAGAGCTGTAGGCCACTCCATAAACTGTCTTAGTAGACACTGGGACACCCAGGATGCCAAAGATGTCTGGTCCCATCTGAAACAGTTGCCCCCTTATCCCTCTCTACAGCTGAGGCTGAGGCACAGACATGGGTCAATGTATCTTTGGGGAAAGCAGAGAGCACTGTCCAGGCAACCCCAGCTTTCCTCTAGGGCCATAGACAAGGCCTTAACTCACTTGTAATAGGTGGTGGTCAGAGCCAGAAGGTTCTCTTCCAGCTTGACTGTCATGGCTCCCAACTTCTGCTCCTTGTGCGCTAAGCCATGTGTATCCATCGTGGAGGCAAAGGCAATCTCATACCAGAGGCCTAAAAACTGGGAGATAGGGGTTAGAGGAAGGAACTGCCTGGGTGTACCAGCATTCAGGACTTGGGACCCTGAGAACCATTTTACATCCCTCCCTTCCAAGGGATGCAGCAGTCTGGAAAGTTCTAGGGGTGAAGGGCACCCAAGATGGTAGAATATTGAAGGCTGACTCTGGGCAGGGCCCAACCCCCATGGAACTTGGCTCACTATAACTGTGACTACCTTGTTTATGTTGAAGTCCTTCAGTTCTGCATCCTGTAAGTCAGACGCCAGCCCCACGCACAGCCCCACACACAGCCCCAGCAGGGTGAAGAGCATGTTGCTCTCCATGTGCCTAGTAGTTGGGTACCTGGGCTCAGCTCTCAGCCACAGGAAGCCACAGCCTTTGGCTCAGAGTCTCTGAACCTTATATCCTTCCCTGTGGGTGCTTGGAATAGGCATAGAAGGTTCTCATTAGGTGGGCTGGAAGTAGACTGTAAACCAGCCAGGTGGATAGCAGGGCCTCAGGGGACCGCCTCCAGGGACACAGATCTTGTCTCTGGGCGTCCACTCATGTGTGCATCAATCCACTCAGCAACTGAACTGCTCCTTTCCAGCTGCATGTAGGTGACAGAGCAGGTGTCCCACCAAGGCCCCTCGGCAGGCTTTGGTCATAGCCACAGAGAAGAGGAAGACTTGCTAGGGTTGGAACTCTGTCAACTGGAAATCCAGGCAATGATCCAGGCAACAGAGTCCTGGGAATGGCGGAGGCAGGACTGAGGAGACTGGAGCCATGCATGGTTGAATCTGTGCAGCTTTGTGCTCAGCCGGCTGAGAATCTTAAGGAGTGGACCAGAATATCGTGACCCCCTCCAGCCCCATCACTATCTTACTGAGTACTTTAAAGAAGGCACAGCAATCAGCCAAGGGCCACCAGACGAGCAGCCAAACACACTTGGGCTAAAGCCAGCCCTGCTGCCCTGGCCTTATCTTTACCTGCAAACTTGTTTTTGTGGGCAAGATCACAATCTCCAGATTTCCGGTGAAGAGCAAGACACATAGGGCCAAGCCACCTGTGAAGCCTCCACAGCAAAGAGGGAGTCCCTTGTAATATCACCCCCTAGGGAAAGCCCAGGCCCTGACCCTGCAGGGCACAGACAAGACAGAAGAGTATCGGCAGCTACAGCAGGCGTTCAAATTATAAGTAGTAGGAACGAGGAGACAGGGAGAACAGTTAAGGATTATAAAAATGACCCAGGGCTCAGAGCCCTTCGGGAAGGGACGGCTAATACACACAGAGGCAATGGCCATTTGGATCTCCTGGTAGCCCAACTAGTGGACTGATGCACGCTCTTTCTTCCTGACAGAAGCCACAAGCTGGTGTCCCCAGCATACCTCTTGAACATCAGTCACCAGCTCTTCCGGTAAAGTCAGGCAGCCATTAGCGCTGTGGCCCAGAGCCCTTTCCATCTCAGCAAGCCCCACATTAGCAGCCAGTGACCAACTCAATTCTCCCTGACCCCTCCAACCTCAGAAGAACGTCAGGTCTTCAGAACTGAGCTATCCTGATGCTAATGATCTCGTCCTAGAAACTGTGGTTTGTCAGCAATCACTGAAGGCCAACAAAGGAAACTCAAGGAGCCTCAACACCAGGACTTTGGGGTGGGGTGATGCCCACCGGCAACTGCAAGGGTCTGTATTCTTAGAGAATCCCTGTGTTCAAAACAATGTTCAGGGGAGATGGAAGGCATTTTTCCTGCTTTTTGAACAAATAAAGAACCCCTCCAGGATCCTGCTAACTGCACATCACCCAACCTATCCTCTCACAAGACACACAGTGGCTGCTGCAACACCTTTGGCCATCTCCAGAATGTAGCACCAGGTACCGGGTACTGGCCTCAGGAAAGGGGCTCTGGTATGGACTCAATTCTGTCCTCTGAGTGTCAGCTGCCCATCTGCCCAGTGGGGACAAGGCATCTCAGAGGGATGTGTCAAGGAGAGGTGTAGAGGTAGGCAGCCAACAAAGTGGGCAGTAGGAAGGTTAGAGGTTCCATCACAGCCAGAGCCACACATTTCCATGTGTCTTCACGGGAGGCTCTGCCTCCAGCGTGGCCTTGGCCATCTGGCAGCCTTTTGAAAAGCGTTTCTCTGCTACTCCTCTGCCCAGATGCCTGCAAAGCTCCAGACCTGCTCTCACTTTCGCTCACAGCATCCTGGGGTGTCACCAGCATTCATGACCAGAATGGACACTGTTCCAGAATGAGGAGAGGGCTGTGGGACCCACTGCCCAGGGTAGCATGAATGGGGCAGGGCAGGGCAGGGTGAAGCAGGACCTTTTCACTTGGGAGTCTAGGACTGGCTGCCCTGTGTGTAAGGCAAATTCTTCACCAAGCATTCACCGAAAATGCAGGCTTGTTTCCTCCACCTGGGCCAGAGAACCGTTCCCGCCACCCCTTTCCTTGCCCCCAGGAAAGATGCTGGGCAGCTTTTGGCAGCAGGGTTTATTTGAAGTAGATGCAGGAGGCCCTTCAGGCAGGAGCAGGAGAGGCCAGGTAGGTGGAGCTGCAGCCGCAGGCCCGGGCAGAAGCTATTCAGACCAGTCCCTGCAGGGAGAACAGCAGAGCTTAGGGCCATGTGTGGCCTTCAGGGACCTGAGACGCTGGTACCCCAGCTGCCTGGCTTTGGCAAAGCACTGGTTCCCTGAGCCTTGGAGTCTCTATCTGCAAAATGGAGTTATGGAGTCAACCTCTGGGGCCTGGGCTGTGACAGTGAGGTTGTGTAGGTAGCAGGTTAGCATGGTGTTAGACACAGGAAACCCCAAGATATCCAACAGAGCTGAACCCCCCCCATCCCACCAACTGGCAGAACATGAAGGGGCAGAGCTGGCCCAGAGCCCTGCACAGTCCTGCTGGACAGAACAATACAAACAAGGGACCTCTCTTGTCCAACTTAGTTCTGTCCCACACCCAAGGGTCCAGCACGACAGCTTGGGGTCACATGGCAGACTGTTCTTTCCATCTGAAGCTGCCCATCAGGGCTGTTGGTTGTCCTGATCAGTGGAGGGATGGATGACCCCTCCTTTCCAGGACCAGTAGTGCCAGCAGGGGCTCCATGAGGGCCAGGCTGCAATGTAGACCAAGGGTAGTAGGCTCACCTCTTTCAAGAGCTCAGCACACCTCCCTGTGGGATGGGACAGCACGTGGTACAGTCAGGAGGGCATCAGACCCCATAACAGGGGCCCGGTCCAGCCTCCTCCCCAAGGTGATGTGCTCACCATGTCGGGCCAGCATGTAAAGGCCTCGGTCTGCTGTCATTTCCCAAAACCTCCAGAAGCCTGGCTCATCCTCAGTCTCAAGACTCCGAGCTGTGGGGCACAGCAGGGCTGGGCTAGCAGACTGAAAGAAGGCAGTCACAGGGCTCTGCCCCTCAACCCAGGCCGAGCTTACTGAAATACTTGAGCACATGGAAGTTTCTGCCTTGCCAGAGCAGAGACAACTTCAGGATGGCGTAGTGCTCATAGTCCGTGTCCAGCACGTAGATCTTCCTCTGGCCTTCAGGAGTCAGTAGCAGGGTTAGGGAGCCTTGCTCAAACCTGGGGGCTGACCTCGAAGGCTGGCTCTGCAGACTCTAACTCCTTTCTGTTTCTGCCTAGTGCTGGGACCTGCCTGTGACATCCTGAGAAGATAACTTCTCAAGGTCAATCCAGTTCACTAGCAGAGATGAGGGGCCTGGAGTCCAGGGCCTGAGAACCCCAGGAAGGGCACAGAGAGCCTCCAGGCCAGGGGGAGATAGTATCCAGGGTCAGGCAGCTGCAACTTCAGCAAGAAGGCAACAGTACTTACCAGGAAAAGCAAATTCCCCCACAATGTTTCTTTCTGAACCCACAGATGTTTCTGTCACACAGCTTCCTGAGCTGAAAAGCACCAACAGTGTTTGTTAAGAACTTGACAGCCTGTGTCCACCCGATGGGCACATCTTTGAGTGGGGCATACCTTCAGAAAGGGTGCTGGCAAACTGGGGAGCATCCTGGAGCCTAGGACCCATGGGAAAGGGGCCATGCATGGGGCAGGGCTGCCCCAGCCTCTCACCTTCAAGGAGCCAGTCAGCTACTACCTGCACATTCTTATCAACGAATAAGGCTTTATCTTAAGCCCTTGCCTACATTTTGGCAGAAATGCAGCTCAAGGAGCCTGAGATCTGGCTTTCTCTGGAGTTGGAGGGCCCAAGCCGGTAGATACGGGGAAGGCTAGTCCACAAACATGCTGATGATCTCTCCACTACAAGAGGTACAGCCTGGACTGTGTTCAACTACATATATGTCTCTTCCTTCCCAGTGGGTCACATCCCCCAAATGAGCCAGGCCTCTTACCTGTTATACACAGCCTTCACGGTGATGTTCCTCCCACTGAAGGTGAGGAACAAACCCTCTACCCTCTTTTGAGCCTTCAACACCAGGTTCTGGTCCGAAGTCACAGCCACTTCCTTCCAGAATCCTGCAATCTAGAGAACAGAACTAGAGGTATCCTTAGCTCTGAGCAGTAGAGCCAAACTGGGTTTGCAGCTCCCTGGCTATAGAGGGTATTTCAGGGACCCTCGGGCAGGGAGTGGGTGGGCTCTGCGAGGCCAATAGATAGTCATGAGCCTGGGTGGCCACTTGTCCTTAGCCGAGTTTTCCTTCCCAGGGGACCTTTCAGGACACCAGACAGAAATGTCCCTTCCAGAAGATCCTGACACAAGACTGGTCTGCTGGGACACCTTTCCAACAGGTGTGTGGGGAGCAAGCATCCAGGCCTACAGCTAGCACACCGAATACAGGAGCATGGCTCTACCAACCTCAACTTCCCTGAGATCATGGTTTCCCATGACAGCAATGTTCCCAGAGCACAGGGTATCACCTGAAACTTTTAGAAACTGGTTACTGTTACAAGAGAAAGAATCTGTGTCCCCCAAAGCTGACCCCTCTGAGTTTACAGTGTGAATCTGTGGTCTCAGGAAGGATCCAGGGCATAGAAAGAGGAATCTAAGCAAACAAGCTGTCCACTCTGGAGAAGTCCTCTTCTGGCTCCACAGTGCAGAGCGATAGGGTCATAGGAACCCTATGAACCAGGGAGCAGGAAGGGACCCCAAATCTGTAAATCACCAAGGACCCAGAGGTGACCAGCCTGAGGACAGCAGCTCCTGCCGCGGCACAGGTGGCACATGACAGAACTCAGGGAGGGGAGAAGCTCAGAGCCTCACCAGGGCCCTCCACTGCCTGCCCTCTTGGGGATGGTCCTGCCCCTGCCAGCTATCCTGTAGCTAAGTAGGAGTTGGATGGAAGGGCAGCAAGACTTACAATGGCTATCCACTCTGTTCCCTCCCTGTCCACCTTCCCATCAAGCCCCAGTAATGCCTGCAAGGTAAGAAGAAAGAGGCACCTTCTCTGGTACTAGGTCCACCCTCGTAGACTCCGCCTGCAGCCCGTACACCAGGAAGAGTCCCCAGACGGTGCTCAGCAGCCTGGCTTCCATCTCAAGGCCTGCCTTGTGGCTTCTGCTTATGGAGGGCACGGGCTTATATTTGGAGAGTGTGCAAGCATGTGCAACCACCCAGAGAATGTCATTGGGCAAAGCTGGCTGCCAGCTGCTCAGAGACTCAGACTCAGACTCACTCTGCATCAACCCACATCCAGAGAGGGTTGGACCCAGCTAAGACGGCAGTCAAGCTGCCTCCATCCTAGTATTTGGACAGCGATGGACCATGCCCTGAGACTGCACAAACCAACCCCAGCACCACCCTCTGTGTGGCGACCTGGGCAAGCTACTTTATCTCAGTTTCCCCATTTGTAACAGTGCATTTAAAAACAACAGCAAAATATTGAACTGGGCATGGAGCTCTGGGTCACTGCCCCCCCCCCAGGAACCTCACTTCCTGCACCATCCTGCGCTCCAGGACCACCCTCCACTCTGCCTATGACCTCTCTTGGCTGCAAGCTTCTGGGAAGCCCTAGAGAGTAACACACTTCAATGTGTGTGTGTGTGTGTGTGTATTTGTATATGGTGTGTGTGTGTGTGTGTGTGTGTGTGTGTGTGTGTGTGTGTGTTCTTGTTGGGGGAAAGGTGTGCACATATTCACATGGGTGTGGAAGCCAAAGGTCAACCTCGGGTGTTGTTCCTCGGGTACCATTCACTTTGTGTTTTGTTTTGTTTTGGTTGGTTGGTTGGTTGGTTGGTTGGTTGGTTGGTTGGTTAGTTCATTGGTTGTTTGGTTGTTTGGTTAGTTAGTTAGTTCATCAGTTGGTTGGTTAGTTAGTTGGTTGGTTAGTTGGTTGGTTGGTTAGTTAGTTCATCGGTTGGTTGGTTGGTTGGTTGGTACTTAGTCTTTGAGATAGTCTCTCACTAACCTGGAGCTTGCTGAGTAGTCCAGGCTGCCGAGCCATTGACCCCCAGAGATCCATCATCTCCGTTCTCCAAGCATTGCACCACGTGATTTCAAATACACACCACCATGCCTGGCTTCTTACCTGGGTTCTGAGGAAAGCACTTTATTAACTGAGCCATCTTCCCAACCCCAATGACACAGTTTCTAGGGCCACTGAGAATTTTTTAAGGCAATTTTTACTTTCAATACCAACTTTATTTGTGATTGATATTAAAGCCTCTCACTCTCTGGGAAAAAAATAAAAAACTGGTACTCCCAAAAGGGTTTGATTGCCTCAGGACCCAACTCTCTAGCTCACAGATTGTACAGCAAAGGGGCCCCAGGGTACTCAAAACAACTCTACCCAGGTCAGTATTCCTCATCCTGCAGGAGTGGTGTCCAATCTTTAGGACCCACGTGGAGCTGCTCGAGATCTGGGCAGCTCACAGGGAGGTCACAGCTACTGAAGCCCACCCTCCAGAGGGAACCAGGCTAGAGAAGACACTAGGGTGGGCTGCTAGGAAAGTGTAAGGGATGAGTTAGGAGAGGAAGCACACTGGGTAACACAAGGAACCATCCAAAGACCTTGGGACATCAGGAGGGAAGCTGAGGACCTACTGGTCCCAGCAACAGGCTGACAAGCCAGGACCCCTGGGGACACAGAGATGGGTTTGGCTGGCAGGAGTGAGAGAAAGGGAAGTGGAGTGGGTGGCATCTGGTTCTCTGGATGACCAGGACAGGATGAGGGCAGCACCTGTGCGGGCTGATTACTTCTGGTTCTTCTGTTTGAGGACCACAGACACTGATGAGCAATGGACCAGAACTCCAGCACCTTCCGGACACTCACACCTGGCCCTTGAAGTATGAGAACTAGACCCACTAAAAGAATGGGGGTTCTGTGACGTGAAGAAAACAGCAGTGATGGTCCCTGGGAAGGGACCCCGTACCCCACCTCTCATTTGAGAGCAATACAGAACCTACACCATGGGGCCTGAGCCTGGATTTGCCTGTCATGTGACCTTGAATAACTGGCCTAGCCTCTGTGCATCAGTGTCTTAATCTACATGTGTCCAGGAGGTCTGTCATGGAATACACATGACAGCAAGTCAAGCAAGGTCTAGGAGCACACTGGCCACTGTCCTGACCCATTTCTCAGGCTCCCAGAGGTCCAAACCATTTGCCCAAGATCACAGCAGCGGTGGGAAGCAAAACCCAGGCAAGCCAACTCCATGTCCCTCCTGCTGTTCCAGCTCCAGCTCTCCTACATCCTACCAGTGAGACTCAAAGGAGCCTGGTAGCCAGGCCCCATGTTTACAAGGCACCTCAGTTTCACCAAAGACACTGTGAACTCATGGATGCCACATATGCTATGCTCAATTTTCCCTGTGGATGCAGCAACCTCCCTGCACCAAATTTAAATGAAACCTCCTGCCCCCTCTCTCAGGAGAACCCTAAGTGGCCAGAGTCCACTTCAGTTTCCCCAGGGGGTCTAGGATCAAGACAGGGCTCACTGTGCCCTGCCCAAGAGCATTTCCAAAGAGTCAGGGAGTCATGGGTGTGGTGGTATTGTGTTACCCAAAATATTATGTATCCTAATAAACTTATCTGGGGTCAGAGACAGAACAGCCACAATATTAAACATAAAGGTTAGGCAGTGGTAGCACATGCCTTTGATCCTAGCATTCCAGAGGCAGAAATCCATGTGTTCAAGGATACAGCCAAGCATGGTGACACACACCTTTAATCCCAAGAAGTGAGCCTTTAATCCCAGGGAGTGATGGCTGAAAGCAGAAAGGTATATAAGGCGTGAGGCCCAGAAACTAGAAGCATTTTGGCTGGTTAAGCTTTCAGGCTTTCGAGAAGCGCAGTTCAGCTGAGAGTCATTCAGATATGAGGACACAGAGGCTTCCAGTCTGAGGAAACAAGATCAGCTGAGAAGTTTGCCAGGTGAGGTTAACTGTGGCTCGTTCTACCTCTCTGACCTTCTAGTATTCACTCCAATAACTGGCCTCAGGTTTGATCTTATTAATAAGAACTTTTTAAGATTCCTGCTACACATGGGGATACAGAATCTGTTTGTAGGGTGGAGGGAGAAGGGCAAGACTAGGGACATAGTAGGGAGAGAGGTGGCCCAGAGTGGCCCCCAGAGGGCCTCACCTGGTTCCTAAGGTCTTGGTGAGGCTGACTGCTCCTGAAGTTTGTGGAATATTTCTTTACATTGTGTGAATATATGTCACTGTGATTTGTTTAATAAAGAATCTAATGGGCCAATAGCTGGACAGGATAAGGTTAGGGGGAGAGCTAAACAGAGAATGCTGGGAGGAAGAAAGGCAGAGTCGGGTGTCACAAGCAGACACAGAGAGAAGCAAGATGGGCATGCCACACTGAGAAAAGGTACCAAGCCACATGGCAAAGCATAAAAAAGAAATGCAGGTTAATTTAAATGTAAGAGTTAGCTAGTAACAAGCCTGAGCTACTGGCCAAGCATTTATAAATAATACTTATCAGGGACTATGGAGGTCCAGTCCCTCGACAGTCCCCTCCCAGGGTTGGGGAAGAATCTACAACCAGCTGATAATTAATCTTTGATGAAAAGAAATGAATCTATGTACACAAAACTCCTTAGTTCATACACTTTATTATTCTGTGATAGATCTCTGCACAGCTTCTATTCTGCTCTCATGTCTATCTAGCTCCTCTCTTGCCTGATTTCTCTCTATATTTATCTACTGTCCCCTCTAGGTTCTATCTTAATTCCTTCATCTAGTTCTGTCCCTTCTAGGTTCTCATCTATCTAGTTCTTTCCCCTATCAGTTCCTCTCCCGTCTCCTCTCTCATTTGTTTCTTCCTCATCTTGTTCTTCCCCATCTGGCTCTTCCTCATCTTCCATCTTGTTCCTCTAGTACTCTCTTCTAGCTCTTCAGTCTAGTTCTTCCCCATCTCAGTTTGTTCCTCTCAAGTTCTTACCCATCTAGTTCTTCCATTCTCTTTTCTCTTCTCCGTCCCGTGCCCTGGAAGTCCCGGTATATAAAGGGAGGGTCCGAGCTAAATTGTGTAAAGCTATTTACTTAATGTCCACCTCACCTAGGCACTGTTAGTCCTCAGAAGTTGGGCGCCCCCCTGGGTGGTGTCTCCTTGTGGAATTTACCTTAAGTCAGGAGACTCGCCTGTGGGTTATTATCACTGTTAGTCCTCGGAAATTGGGCGACCACCTGGGTGGTGTCTCCTTTAGTCCTTGAAAGTGGCTAGGGGAGATATCTGATTCCAGAGAAAGCCTTTCCTGAGGCTGTTCTCCAAATGCCTGGAATGTGTATGTCTAGAGAGTGATCAGTCCACATTGTTAGCCCTTCTTAGGGAAAAGTCAATTGGGAAAACTATGAAGGCACACATGATTTTCATAACAGAAGACAGCTGATATATAACAAGCCAAGTAACACCAAAAACTCCTTGGGATTTGGCTTCCTGTGGAGGAATTCCCTGATTCCTCCAGGTAGTGACTTTGCCATAACCAGCTGAGTTCTTATGATATATTCCTGTGGCCCGCAGCAAATACTAAGTTTCTGAGTGGTTATTCGGGAGCGGCTGCCAGCACAGGAAAACTCCGCCTACAGAGATTGGCTGTTCCTACACAAAAAGGGCACAATCACTCCATCATCACTCCCTGACAAATGCCCTTGCTACTCCCCACAAGCTAAGCCCTGCCCCCCAAGGCTGTCAACCCACAAAAACAAGGAAAGATAACTGTCACCAAAGCTTCCACAAACCTGTGAACACCTCATGCACACACTGCTGCTGCTGTCTCTTCCCCCAAACTAAAGATGCCTCTCCATGGCACCTGCCCATAGACCTCAGAGACCCACCACACTTCTGAGTCCCTCACTCTTACAGGACTGGTAACCCCTGGCTCTGCCAGGCCCTGGGCAGGGGGCCCAAAGAGACATGAAAATGACAGAGTGATCTGGCATTGATTCTCTCTCCTTATATTTTCAAAACCACCTGATGATGGAGACTTAAGTAAGCTTAGCAGGGCTGTTTAGCTCCATGGAAAGTCAAAACAGCCCCTGGGTTAAGCGGCCTGGGAGAAGAGAATAATCAGAGGCCTATGAGGACTGGAAATAACAAGAGAGGGCTACAGATTTGAAGAAACACCACAAATGTCTCTCCCCACCATACCAGGACAATCCATAAGGGTGTCACCTCCCACCCCCTAGATGCGGGTAATTTTCACATATTTACTACTTATGGTTTTGTGAGTGCCAAAATTGTTAGCAATGAACTTGGATAGGAACTTGGCAGCTTCTGCTGTGGTTTGGTTGGGTATGTCTCCCCAAGAACCTGCCTGCATCAAGGTCCCAAGGGCTTCTAGTCCAATTCTGTAGTGGGGCAGCAAATGGGAGCTGGCAGTTCTGCCATCATGGGGGTTTGGGGAACAGGATGATACAATTGCAGAATAAGGTGCAA